AAGAGGACTGGTCAGGCACCGGAGCCATTTATTTATTTGTCTGGGCCTTCGAACTCGTGCAGGAACCCACTGTCAGGGATACAAGCATCAACATGGCCGACGACGGCCACAGGGGGTGTTCGCCAATCAACGATCAGTGGCGCAGGCCTGGAGGTGCCTGCGCAGAACTGTGTACACGCCAAATCTATACACCGATCAATTCGGTCCTCGTCTGAGACCTAGGCTCCCATCAGTTCTCAGCCCTTGGCACTGCGGCGGCTAAAGGGCGGGGTCTGGTTTCACTTATGGACACCCACCCTAGCCAAAAATCCCCAGATCGGGACTCATTTGCTCCTTGTCAGCCAAAAACTTTACTCAACGCAATTCACCACCAAAGTCTGTTCATTGAGGAAAAACCAGCTTCGCTCAAGCCAACCACGCAAGGTTAACTGTCGCCTAGAAAGACCACTATGTTAGCGGAACTACCGAGACTCGTCGAGGGCGCCACCCTCCCACAGAATCCCCTTAAGGACGGAAGCTGCACAGTCGAGGCGCAAATAGACACTAAAACAGATGACTGGCCATGCTATCGCCAGCAGCCCCGACAATTTGATTCGGCTGGCGATGGCCCGCAGACACTCGTGGGAGACAATCTGCTGCCGTAAATTTCGTACGTTAAGACGACCTAGCCGACGAGAGCTAATGTGTTGGCCGCCACACGCTGAAGGCCGAGTAGACTACTTTGACACTAATAATGGTCTACCCCGGCGGAACAGAACCCTTCCCGGGGTGGCCCGTCTTTGCAGCAAGTTCCTCGGACAAACAACGCCTGCACCTGCATAGCTGGTCCCGTAAACTCCCTCTTACGGCCGCCGTGCTCCTCTTCAATCAGACAGTTTGCCAGACTGGCGGGTCGCTGACAACCAAGAAGGCTGCTGTTTCGATCATGTATATGACAGCGGGCACTCCCAGTGACGGCCCGCCTTACCGTGACCACTACCGCTCCAACTGGTCGTTATGGAGGTCAAAGACAGCAGCAGCGAAGCCCTCATTGATATGGAAACCGTTCGCAACTTTCCTCACCCTCAAAGAAACCGGCCCCAAGACGGAAGGATACTGTCTGAGCCTATGCACCAGGCCTCATGCTGAGCTTCAGCCACTACTCGGGACTTTCGGAGACAAAAAAATTGGCGCACTGCTGACTTCGAAATCAAACGCATTCGGTTGGTGAAACGCATACCAAGTACGTCCTCTCCTGCAAATTAATGGTTATTCGTTCAATGTTGGGCTTGTTTCTAACGGACAAATCGGCATTCTCCGCTAGCGAAAAACCGCATTTATGTGGCTCAGCTATGACGCTCCAAATAGCATTTGGAGCTCTCGAACTGAGCAAAGCCCAAGCATAAGAATAGCGGCAGGATGTATTTAGAAATCTTTATTTGGGGTTTAGTTAACGCACTAGCATCCCAACCGACATTTTCGTCAGGATACTTTGCAACATTCCAAGGTTCTCACTCGATGCCGCTTCCAGTTCGACATCAGAGACATCGTAGGCCGCACATATTTTCGGCCTATTCGCGATAGTGGACAAGCAAGTAATTTCTTCCGGTTCGGCTGACAACGACTGACAGATATCGTCCAGCCTCACAATTTCCTCCCCTACCATAGAAATAACGACGAATAAAACATGCTTGGTTTCCTGGTTAACACCAAAAACGGTAACAGCCTCGTTTATGGAGTGGCGAGGATGTAAACAGGCCAGAAACTCGGAAGAGAAGGAAGTCTTCCCCTGAGGTTTTCGTGAGGCCCTATTCGCAAGTGCTTGCACAGCCGCTGCTTCTACCTGTGAAAAGAACACACTTACTAAGCACTGTGAATGGTCTCAGTAGGGACGGTACAGATGTACGGGGGGTTGGAGCCAAGATATTCTCCCAGCTCGGTAACTCCCGAAAGCTATTTAGTCCACTGCGTAGGCTCCGTCTCACAACGGAACTTTAACCATGGACAGTGTAACAAGAATTGATATAAGTACCTGCGCCTCATTGACAATGTACTCAGCGTTGACCATCACGGTGGTGTCTGGACGAAGTTGTAGTTTTCCTGACTGCAAACGCTCGTTTACCTCTAAAGGTGAGGATATGCCATTTACCAAGGCTAAGTTCAGGCAGTGTTTTGGAAAGAGGACGGGAACTATTTTGTGCCAATCCTAGACAAAAATGTGTCATCAGTCAAGTGTGATGAACCAGAGGGCACGAGAGAAAGACAAATGTATATAAGTTAACAGGATTTATGTACAAAATATACAGTCATCACCGTGTCAGTCGATTGTTTGCTTTGGTGTAGCCCACTCCAATTTCAAAACGCGGGAATTTAGTTCATGTCTCTTGGAAAGAGCTTTCTGTGCATTTTCAGTCGTTCCAAAGTCCAGAATCGCAAACCTGCAAACACAGAGGTAGGATGATTTAATAAACGCCAAATGGGTGTGGAGGCATGGCATATCGACTCTGAATATTCCATGTAGCACGCTGCTCCACGGGTCAATCTTGCGGCTGCCAGTTTAATCTGTTGGACAACAACAGAAATCCGGGCACCGCGAATAAGGGGAAACGTTAGGTATTTTGTGCGGTCAAAGAGAAGTTCAAGTCTGACCAATAATTCTAGTCCATAAGCGAAACTTTATGCCCACAGGCATAAAGGATTAGGATGGACAGAGGCTAAGTCGCCCAGGCGCATTTATACAAAGAAAGGTTAGCACATGAAAGCTTTTAAACTAGCGCAAAATTGCGGATCTCAATTGGTACGTGCATTCATTTTGGGTCGTCAGGCAAAATACAGTCGAGACATCAACCTACCCCCTGCACCCATGCCTTTTCTTTGGCATGCTTACGAGTTTTGCGTTCTTGAACAGTTCCTTTACTTGATCTTCTTTTGCGGTTCTTCCCAGATTCTTGACGAAGACACGGCAAGTTGACGGGCCCTGTGGCACGGGCCGGATATCAGCTTCGTCCCCCACACCGTGGCGCCGGAGATAGACGACTTTAAGCTGTCTGCCCCTGAACTTGGCTGTCAACGCATTTTTCTTGTCCAGTTTGCAATCCTCCACTGTTCCATAGCGTAGCTTTGCGAATCCTCCAAGCGGGTATATTTCGATGGCTTCTGCTTGTGGGAAAAGAGCTCGAACCTCAGATTCCTTTGTGCACTTTTTCAATCCGTACACTACAAGACCTTGGACAGACCTAAAGACATAAGGCAAAACAAACACAAACTTTGGCGACTTTTTGCGTTCAAACATGACGGATACGCGGCGACCACGGACAACACAACCATGCTTTTCGTCAAACGCAGAGATGGCCTCAGCGGGTGTCCCGAAGGAAATAACCGCAGCACCAACCTCATACTTGAAACGGCCCGATTTGTTGACATCTTTCATGGTAATGCCTGTGGCGTTGGGGAAGTGCCTAGTCAGTTCTCCTTTGCCGGTCTTCTTGTGCAGATTGGAAACGCGAATCTCAAGAGGACTGTATTCATCTACGAGGGTCAGCTTTTAAAATGTCCTACCGGGGTCCTCTGAATTGAACTTCCCCAAAGTCGCTTTAAGAGTCCTTTCCTTGTACGACATACCCTCCAACCTACGCTGGTTGCTCAGAGCTGACTCGTGAGAACTGAACTCTAGAAACACCGTCCTTGCAGGCCGATGGGAAATCGCAATATGCGGTATGCGACAGGCCGCCATGTCAGGGGCTAGGCTCAGCAAGGATAGGTAGTTGTAGCCCTTAGGAAGGCCCTCGAGCTTAACAGTGCACAGATTGCGAGTCATCAGTCTTTCGCAAAGGGCATCCCGAACTAAAGGATCCCTCAGGGCAGTTCGGGACGTCTCAAGTCCTGCTGCATCTTCTGTCCGAACTTCACGAGCACCCGCGAGGGCACACTTCGTAACCGTCTCTCTGCTAGTTTTGGTGTCTTTCTCGCCCAGCACCTGTCCACGTAACCGTTTGGGCTTCGAGGGTTTCACGTGACCATCATCCTAGCAAGGACTAAATAATAAAACGACAGCATACATCACTCTCATCTTCCTGCAACATCAATTAGTATTTTCGTAACACCTACCAGGAGACGCTTCAACTGTTCCCGGCCCACGCGACCACGCAGACCCATGGCGCCGAGGGACCGCTTAGGCAAGACTGACTTAAACAACTGTCTAGTGTTTCATTTTAAACTCAAGCTCTCAAGGCATTCATGTACTCGCACATTCGCTGACTCCTGAATATCTTAGTATGCTTTTGCAAAAATGTACATAGATATGAAGGTTCAGCTTAGCAGTTGAGTTTTAAGTCTGAATCTTGGTTGGAATAAGACTTATCGAAAAGGGCAGAACGATGAGCAAGGTGCCTAGTATATGAAGATTTGGTCTGAATTCAGTAAATTGTAAGCATGCACAGAGGTTCGCAGTATAAGTTGCGGAAACTGTAACTTTCCACACTATCCTACGCATTCGAAGCAGAAACTTGTGGAAAGGGCCTAAATTGAAGGAAATGCAGCCAGTCGGTAGATAGTATCGTCAAAGGGGGTGTCGTATAAGGGAAGTTACAATAAAAGCAGACTAGAGTATACTGAGCAAATCAGAGAAAAACAAAAACTAGGCAAAATGCCAAATCTAATAGAAACCGTTTTTTATTCTCTTGGTTTTCCTCGGCGTTCTGTCTTTTAAAAAAGATTTACAAATGTGTCCATAGTTTGCGTGAGTGTGAGGAACGTATGCATATCGACGTAGAAAATGGACGAAGATATCATTGTGCTAGGTTGTTAATTCTCCCTCAAACAAGATCGTGTCCTTTTCTAACGATCAACCAAACAGAGGCCATTGCTATTTATTAGAACTGCCTATTCTGTTTAATACCGACTCATTTTTGCGTATAATTTTGGGTAGAATAAGCAACAAACGAATAAGTATATCAAGTTTTTGTTAGATTTGGGATCCGTACCACCTTTGACATGTCCTTATTATTCAATCCTTCGTCGCCGTATTATGGCGCAATGGCCTCCGTGAACTTCAACTTCCTCTATCCGTGCCGCTCCAAGGCGAACTAGCGGCGTTCGATGACTCTTCATCGTTTTCCTTTCCGGTCACTAAGTCCGCAGTCAGCCGACAACTGCCGCTCATCTCTGTTACGCTCGTGGGGCAGAATGACAACTCAGTTCGCACTTTGCTTCTCCGACCACCAGATCGGTGTTTTTTCCCTGGAGTACCATGCTACTTTGATCTCTACTGAAAGGTAAATGAACACAGACTGATCTTGCCAAAAGGTAAAAATATACATCGACGTGCACCTTTCTGGCATAACCAGCAAACGCCAGAACTCACAAAGGAAAGTTTCGATTTCTTAAAAGGTCTGTTGGAATCGTAAGGGTCTTGACCTGAGGACATTCGTAGACAAGGACGAAAAGCTTGACGTCAAAGAAATCATCGACGTCACTTAATAAAACATTCTGCAGTCGACCTGCTCACTATTGAGACGTTGTTGGTCGTTGCTCTGGTCATAATTCTTCGAGTAATCCATTCTGACATGCAGTCAAGTCGTAGAAAAATCGATCAAGCATAAGTGAGGGGTGCTTCTCAGATAAGCTTAACTTAAACCCGCATCACCCAAGAGGTCTGTTGATTCATTAGCGTCCTCGAGTGATGTGGGGCTCGGGTGCGAACTCACCTGGAAAAGACAACCTTCCAGAATTTCAGTATATATAAAGGAGATAGGTATAGTCTTTGAAAACCCTATTTACAGTCAGAGACTAAAAAAAAACGTGCACATGTATGCGCAGATGTACGGTACATTTTTTCAGTTCTTATCAAGTAAGCATACGGCTGTCATATAAAATGTTATCAAGTCTTCGTTTACATGTCTGAACGCATCCCGCCGGAGATTACTCATTAGTGCTAGTACAAAAAATCGGCTATTTAAGTGCACAGTTTTCTCCTCTGACGAGTTAGAATACCATGAGCATGTCCTCTCTGTATTGGCTATAAGAGGGAGGGAAAAGATTGAGCCTTTCTAGTACTTATCCATAAGGTAGGTTCTTCAGTCCACCGACTAGTTTAGTCGCTCTTTGTTGCACCTGCTCCAAGAGAGTGTAGCCTTGCTTCATCCAGGGGCGCCACACTTAAATATCACATTCTAAAATCGGCCGGAAAAGTGTCCCAAACAGACGACTGAAAAGCTCTTCGTCAAAGTTAAGGAAAGATCTCGCGATCGCTCCCAGGATGCCCATGGCTTTCTTTGCTTTTTTGCCGCAGTGAGACGAGGGCTTAAGCGTGGAAGTCATCTTCATACCTCGTTCACAAGTTCGAGTTCGTGACCTCCGATCAAACACTGATAGTCAGATCTCAAATCCTTTCTGTAAGTAGACCTTATTTGGATGAATTGGCATTTTTTGAAGCTGAGGTTAAGAAGCTTTTCATCACACCAATGTTGCAGTCGCTCCAAGTTTTTTTGCAAGTATGGCGCGTTCTCTGGCTTTTCCATTGAACTCCACATCTTCAAATCATCAGCGAAAATTACCTTCTTGCAGGTCAGACAGTCTAGGCAATCGTTCACATATATTAAGAACAGAATGGTACCCAGAAAGCTCCCCTGCGGAACCTCGCTCTGAACAGTTTCCCACTCTGATTTGGCGTCACTAATGCACATACGCCGGCGTCGGCCTGTGAGGAAGTCTGCCAACCACTTAAGTAGGTTATCAGTCACACTCATTTGACGCAGTTTAAATATGAACCGTCTGTGTGACACCCCACCAAAGGTTTTGCTAAAGTCAATGTAGACTGCATCCACTGACAAACCCATCTTCAGGGATTTCGTCCAGCTTTCCATAGATGTGAGCAGGTTAGTGAGACAGGATGGACCACCTCTAAATCTACATTGATGCGCACTAAGTAAGTCGCTTTCGCCAATATGTCCCGTCAGTTTATTTCAGTTTATTCAGTTTATTTGGTAAGGATAAGAGGCAAAGCCTTTGATAACCCTATTGATTACATGTCAGCTCGTTAGAAATAACTGCACACGAACAATAAAAATATTCACCATTAAACAGTACTTGATTCATTAGAGTAGCATTATATCAGAGAAAATATTTGGGGGCGTGGAGTATTAGCTCAGATTCAGACTGTCGGGGGAAAACAGGGAACACAAATAATTATCCAAGCGTTTCTTTAAGAGTTGCAGAGACGTAGCCTCCATGACTGATTGAGGGAGATCTTTCCATTTCTCCACTACCCTCTGCGTGAAAAATTCAGAACGAAGATTCAGCCTGGACATTGTTGTCCGTAACTTCATCGAGTGACCACGAAGATTGGGTGAAAGGTGCCACTGAAACATGTCCTTAAAGCTAAGTCCATGCTCAAGGCCATGTATTATCTTGTAGATGAGGATAAGATCACCTCTTCGCTGCCTGTAACACAGAGGGAATAAATTAAGGCAATTCAGTCTGTCTATGTAGGATTGGCTTTTTAGACCGTTTAACAGCTTTGCTGCATGGCATTGTACCCGTTAGAGGCATGTTTGGTCCTTTACTAGCCATGGACGCCATGCTTGTAGGCCATATTCTAAGTGGGGCCGAACGAAAGTGCCGTCAAATCCCTCCCAAAAGGTCTTGGTCAAAGGTTACGAAGGCCCTTTTGATTGCATGCAGCACTCCCATGGCGTTGTTTGCAGCCTTGTGGCACTGCAGTGTTGGTTTCAGGTTGTTCTGTATCCAAACCCCGAGATCCTTCTGTGAAGATTCTGCAGGGAGCCTTATATCTTTCAGGTGATATGTCCTCAGGCTCTAATTTGAATGAGCGTTGGTTGGGTGCAGATGAAGGACGGCACACTTCTCCACATTGAAATCTAGAAGCCATTTCTCCGACCACGCTTGTAGTCGGTGCAGATTATCTTGAAGGTATCTCTGATCATTCGGACCCTTAATGACTTGCCAGAGCTGAACGTCGTCGGCAAAAATTATTTTGCCGCAGTCGAGTTCCTGAAGGCTGTCATTAACATGAAGGATGAAGAGCACTTGTCCCAGAACTGAGCCTTGAGGCACATCACCGGTCAAATTCACCCATTCTGACATACCATCTCAGATAGACACACGTTGTTTCCGACCAACCAGAAACGCCCTAATCCAGTTCAGAAGATCTCACCGGATGCCGATGGCGCTCAATTTGTAAAGAAGACGTTGGTGCGGAACAGTATCGAAGCTTTGCGGAAATCGATGTACACGACATCGACCTCAAAACCCTCTTCTAGAACCCAGGTCCAGATCTCCAGATAAGCTAGCAGACTCGAGAGGCAGGAACGTCCTCTCCGGAAGCCATGTTTAAAATCCTGCATGATATTATTTTCTTTACAAAATTGCTGTATAGCTTAATTTACTACAGCTTCCATCGTTTTTCATGGGAGGCAACTTAAGCTAATAGGCCTGAAGCTGCTTGCTCTCATCCTGCTACATCCCTTATGTAAGGGAACGAGGTTAGCCGTCTTTCAATGTGATGGCAGCCTTCCTGTTCTATTTGACAGCTCAAAGAGAGTCGAAAGAGCCTTTGACAGCTCCTTTGATAGCTCCTTAGGTACCAGCCCAGGAATTCCGTCGGGTCCATGAGACTTATCAGATTTTATTTGACTGAGGATGAGTCTGATTTCTTAGACAGAAAAGACAACAGTTTCAATGACGGCAGTATCCTGGCGCATTTGAAGCTCCCGGCTGTCTCGGTCCATTTCAAACTGCTGATTGTCTTCTGAGGACTCCCCGTAAAAACCGATTGAAAAAAACTGAGACAGTAATCGCGCTTTCTGTGGACCTTCAACTAATAACTTTCCGAGGCTATCCTTTAGATACGCAATTTCGTCCCTATGTTTCTTCCTGCTGCAGATGTACTCGTAAAACTTCTTGGGAAGTGTAATGGATTCTGCAATCAGTCGGCGCTTGAAAGAAGTTCTAGCAACTCGTATTTGTGTGCGGCATTTATTGCGCTGATCCTTATATTCGGCGAATGACTTTGGATCTCGAAGTTGCAAATACTTTTTCCAGAGTCTCTGTTTCTTCTTCATGGTCTTTTTTGTCGTCGGATGGACCCACGGCTGTCGCGCACATGGTCGTGTTATTTTTATTGGACAAGGGAGTCA